TTATATTTAAAGAGACTTTTTCCGTATATATCATACATTCTATCAAATATGTCTCGACTATATTTTAGCAAATACATTTTATTTATCGAGTAGTGTTATGTTCTAGGGAGCCGTTCTAATTAGGATCTGAATACTTTTCTAATAAAAAATAGCTCTGATAGAATCATAAGTATTGGCGATCTTGCACAGAAATGTATTACACATAAAAGAAATTGACTTGAAAAAAAAAAAAAAGAAAAGAAGAGGAAATACGACAATCAACTTCTTTATTCATTTTTTCTAGTTAAGAAACGACTAAAGAATACAATAGAATTTTTTCTTGTATAAATATCGTGGAGATTGATTATACAATCGCAACAACTCGATAATTACATGAAATTTTTCTTTAGCACATTAAGAAATACATCTTTGATAGCCTCAATAATAAAGTTATTATGCCACATTTTAAAACATAAAAACCTGACGGGAACAGTCATATGATCTCGTTTATTTTGCGGATTCGAGTTTTCAATTCGAGTTGAGATGTGATATTTTTTGAGAGCTTTTCACTGTAGCAGAAAAAGTTAGATGTGACATTTTTTTGAGAACTTTTTACTGTAAAAACCTAAAACTGAAAACTTGAATTGGTGAAATGAACGAGGCCTAAAATAATTATTTATTTCTTGAATTTTGTAGTCATTAGCTCCCTGATGAATAATCTTGTTTCGTCACTAACAATAAACAACACGTTGTTTAGTTGTTCGAAAGGATTATGTTTATGTATGATATCTTAATTGTTGAGAAAAGTGTATGTGTGTGTTGTCCTACATAAAAAGTGGATGAGAATGTGAAGTTATTTATATACATAGACGGACCCAATACCTAATAGATTAATCTTTTAGGTCAAGTTAGGCTCCTGAAGTGTGTTGAGCCAGTTTCGCATATGGTGTCTCCTTAATAAGTGGGCTCCTGAAGTGTGATGGGTCAGTTTCGCATGTAATGTCTCCCAAACAAGTGGTATCAGAGCCGATGGTTCGTATGGATCAAGCGATCACACTCGGTTACAGTTTTCATGTTGCCTCCCGTGGAGAGTTGGTGTTCCTGCAGGTGCGCGGATGGTGGAGCATTTGGTAGACTCGCATGGTTTCGGATCTCTTTCCCATGCTTGAGTTGGCTCCCATTTGGAGTGTGATACTTGGATATGCTGGCTACTTGAAACTTTAATTCGAGGGAGAGCTCGGTGAACACACACATGATGGATAGATTGTTGAGAAAAGTGCATGTGTGTGTTGTCCCACATGAAAAGTAGATGAGAATGTGAAGTGGTTTATTTACATAGACGTACTCAAGACCTAATAGGTTAACCTTTTGGGTCAAGTTGGGCTCTTGAAGTGTGTTGAGTCAATTTTGCATGTGGTGTCTCCCCAACAAGTGGGCTCCTGAAGTGTGTTAAGCCAGTTTCGTATGTGGTGTCTCCCCAACATTAATATAATCATGTTAAACTATCAAATCATTTTTAACGCCAAGAAATACGCACTTTCATGAAGACTTTTACAATTTATTGACGAATAAGGTAAAAAAGAAAAAAAAATGTAATAGTATTATATATCAATGTTATTTATTATGAACCATGTTCAACAGAAAAGTTTCTTTCGAAATTATATGTAAATTAAGACCCTGTTCATTTTACTGATTTAAGTTTTGGCATAATAAAAATTTGTTGGAAACAGTCACATCTAATTTTTTTACTACAATAAAAAGATCTCACATAAAGTTACATCTCAACTCGAATTAAAAACTCGAATCAGTAAACTAAACGGGACCTAAATATTATTTCTTAAATATATTCTTTTTTTTTTCCTCGTTATATATATACAGATATTAACATGCAATCTAATCCTGCATATTCTAGAAAAGTAATATTATATTTTCAATTCTTGTTGTTACCAGCAGCGCAACCACGTACGCATGCAATTTGAGACAACAAAGTCAAACCAACGGGCTTCATGAACCGATACGAAACGTTGATTGAAAAATGAGGCTTCTATATAAAGATATCTCTTCAATTAGTAACATACAAAGAAATTAGATTCACAAATACTAGCACGACAAAAAAAATGACAACAAATTTTGAAGCTCGTGAAATTCTACTCCTTGTAATATTAATTATTCTAACCCTACTTAAAACCTCTCAATCTGGTGGGATTGCCATATATTGGGGCCAATCAAGCTATGAGGGAGCCTTAACCCAAGCATGTGCCACAGGCAAATACTCATTCGTGAACATAGCTTTTCTTAACGCGTTTGGCAATGGTCGAAAACCCGAAATCAATCTCAATCTCGCAGGTCACTGCAATCCACAATCCATCAACGGCTGCAACATTCTCAGTGACGGCATAAGTTATTGCCAAGGCTGCGGAATCAAGGTGATGCTCTCCCTTGCATCAACCGCAGACGCGAAAAATGTGATGAAACTCTTATAGAACGGTTTCTTGGGTGGCAAGTCATATTCGGCACTTCGTCCCTTTGGGAATGCCATATTGGATGGCATAGATTTTGACATAGAGCTTGGCTCAAAGCTGTATTGGGACGAACTTGCTCGTTACTTAAAAGGGTATAGCCAACCGGGACAAGCTGTGTACCTATCTGCTGCTCCTCAGTGTCCATTTCCAGATAGGTTTCTTGGCAATGCCCTAAAATTAAATACAGGGCTTTTTGACTTTGTTTGGGTCCAATTCTGCAATGATCCTTCATGCCAGTATAGATATGGCGGTATTAATAATCTTTATAGATTCGTGGAATAGATGGGCTTCTTTGGTGAAAAATGGGAGGGTATTTTTGGGATTACTAGCCTCTCGTATTGGCATCAGGAAGTGGGTGCATACCAACTAATGTTTTGACGGCACAGATTCTTCCAGTGATAAGGAGGTCGCCAAACTATGGTGGGGTGATGCTGTGGTCTAAGTATTTTGATTATAGGAGTGGATATAGTGATGTCGTAAAAAATAGTGTCTAATAACATAATCTTCCTATATATGTGTTAAAAGCTGATATAAGTTTTTAATTTGAGTTGAGATGTGACTTTATGTGAGAATTTTTTACCGTAGTAAAAAAGTTAAATGTGATCATTTTTAAAAACTTTTTACAGTAACAAAACTCAAATTCTAAATTCGAATCGGTAAAATAAACGAGCCCTTAAAAGGTTAATATTCTTCTTTAGATGTACCACGCAGTATTATATGTATAATCCGGGGGCAATTTACACTAGTACCTATTGTATTTTGACGAAATTAGAATCACTCATTGTCCATTGACCGAAAAAATTAACGTTCACCACCCCTTGATTGAAAAAGAAAACATTAAACACCCTCTCATTTACTTGGTCGTGTCGGAAAAACCCAAAACTACAATTTGTCAAACTTCAAGAAATAATTTACTAAGAAAATAATTAAGTTTAGAGACGAAAGTAGACAATGTCAATAATTTGAAGGAACGTCCATCTAAATGTGTCATCATTAAAGGGACAAAGATACAGAAGAAGAGCGAGATAAATTTAAGATCCTATTCACATTAAAACAAGAATAACTTCTTTCATCGACATCAAACTAGGAGAAGAACGATGATAATGAAATGAAATTTTTGAGCACAAAAAAAAAAAAAAAAAAAAAAAGAAGAAAAAGATGGACAACGACATATACACCAAAAACGACAAAAACAACAAAAATGACGTCAATACATAACTGGAAACGACATATCGTTTATAAAGATCAAATGGTCATGAGTAAATGCCGCGTAATATTACAAGACAACATGTCGTTTCCTTTCAGTAGAAACGATTACATGTTTACTTTCCAGGATTTAACAGCACCATAGAATCTACATGTCATTTTTTTTTCCCAATTAAAATCAACCCCGTGCAGTTCTTTCGGGTAAAAAAGCATCCAGAGAAAACAAAATGTCGTTTAATTTTGTTCTTTCAGGTAAAACAACATTTCGTATTTATTATAGTATCATTAAGACAAATATATATATTGCCCTCTCTCGTACAATCATATATTTCGCTCTCATGCCCGAACGATAAAGGAAAAACATTGTTCCTAATATCAAAACAATACCATAATGAAGTCAGCAGATATTTTTGTAATTTGCTGAGTTTATGCAAAACTAATTTGTAAGCACAATTATTGAATTTCAAAGATTATTCTCCAGCAATCAACATATGATTTTCTGATTACATTGTCTTGTGTTGATTAATCCACCGCAGAAATGGTAGATAGAAAGAACCCATCTTTTTTTTTTTTCCATCCATAATATACTCATCATTTAGTGCCCTCCTGGAAATCTTGACTTGAAGAATATTATTACTCTCACGTAGATCCAATCTTTTGTATCAGCAGAGAAGCGAAAATAGGCATATCTCCAAGAAATTTTGAGCACTAAACTGCCACAAACTCCCCAGAATCCAATGAAAAAGCCAATCCCAATACTAACATAAAAGCCAGGAGTTACAAAACCATCCTCATCTTCTTGTCGTTTCCATTGCCATCAGTAGCATCAGGATCTTGATCAATCTCACCTCCAGGGCAGTCTTTTGTGAGTAGTGGTCCACAAAGGATGTTTTATTTTCATTTTTGTTTTTTTTCTTGTTTTTCTTATATTTATTTTTGATGGCTAATACTAGGAACCATCACACAGTGAAATGCATTTATTTGTAGATAATTTCATTTTCATCACTTATAGTGATGATCACATATGTACACGTTCAAACTCTACACAAAAGGAAAGGAACAATAACTATCAATAACTATGCAAATTTCCTAAAATCAGGAAAGAAGAAATTAAATAATCACAATGTCTTATATTACGTAAAATTAAATCAAGTAATATCCTTATCAGTGGGGCCGTTAGAAATTAATGAGACAAATCACGTTGACATCAGTCAACATGTAACTGTGTTATCCAAATTGTACAGTTGATTGGGACTTTCTCGGCACTGAAACGCTTATAAGAACCAAAAACCGCTGCTCTATGAGTTAAAAATCGGACAGAAAAATCCCACCAAAAAACAATAATGGCTCAAAGTTCCCATGTCATGATTCCAGTTTTTTTACTAATCCTTCAAGCTTTTGCCTCAATCCAAGTCTCTCACGGTGGAGGCATAGCCATATACTGGGGCCAAAACGGCAACGAGGGAACCTTAGCCCAAACATGTGCCACCGGAAAATACTCATTTGTAAACATAGCCTTTCTCAACAAATTTGGCAATGGCCAAACCCCACAAATCGACCTCGCGGGCCACTGCGTCCCGGCTCTGAAGACTTGCACCGTTGTCAGCGACGGCATAAGAAGCTGCCAAAGCCGAGGAATCAAGGTGATGCTCTCCATTGGAGGAGGCATCGGAACCTATTCTTTATCATCTACTGTAGATGCAAAGAATGTAGCGGATTACTTGTGGAACAACTTCTTGGGTGGTAAGTCTTTCTCACGTCCCTTAGGTGATGCCGTTTTGGATGGCGTAGATTTCGACATAGAGCTTGGCTCCACGCGGTATTGGGACGATCTCGCTCGTTACTTGAAGGGGTATAGCAAACTAGAAAGACCTGTTTACTTGACTGCAGCACCTCAGTGTCCATTTCCAGATAGGTTTCTTGGGAATGCTCTTGAAACCGGGCTTTTCGACTATGTTTGGGTTCAGTTCTATAACAACCCTCAATGCCAGTATAGTTCAGGTGATATCAATCGTCTTGTGAATTCGTGGAACCGGTGGACTACGTCAATAAGGGCAGGGAGGATATTTTTGGGGTTACCGGCGGCTCCCCAGGCGGCAGGAAGCGGGTACATTCCGCCTAAGGTTCTGACTTCTGAAATTCTTCCAGTGATACAGAAGTCACCGAAGTATGGAGGTGTGATGCTGTGGTCTAAGTACTTTGATGACAAGAATGGATATAGTTTAGCCATACTTCAAAGCGTTTAACTTTGTAGCTTCTAGTACCTGAATGTCGCGGTTTGAACTACAGTTCAACCATATATATATATATATCTATAATAAATCCTGCAATATATGTAAGAGAAGCGGCATTGGAACTGCATGATGGCAGTCATATTGGTCCTTCTATCCTGATGTTAGTTTTTGTTTAAACTATCATGATGCTAGTTTGAAGGTGTCACTGGTTTTTCCTCATTCACTGGTCTTCCGGTTAATTTTGCTAGTTTGCCAGATAATTACTGTAGTTTGTTTATTTGATTTTTATTTTGAAGCGAACTTCACTCTACTCCTTTTCTTTCTTTCTTTTTTTTTTTTTAATAAATAAAAGAAGATGAGTGGTGTTTTCACGTCTCTACTCCAACACTAATAGCCCAAAAGTTCATAGAGTTCAAAACGTTTGCGTGAGGCATGACTCGAACATTGAACATATAGCACTATGCCGCCGCCGCCGGTGCCGGCACCGGTGGTAGTTTCTTGTTGAAAGTTGCATTCCGCAGGAACCAAAAGCGTTTTTGTTTTTTGTTTTGCCTTGTTACTTTTTTTCCCTGGATAGAATGCGTGCTAGCTGCCATGCTTTGCTGTTTTTCTTTGTTTTTGGCTTTGGCTGTCTGTCTGCGAGGCATGACTCGAACATTGAACATATAGCACTATGCCGCCACCGCCGGTGCCAGCACCGGTGGTAGTTTCTTGTTGAAAGTTGCATCCCGCAGGAGCCAAAAGCATTTTTGTTTTTTGTTTTGCCTTGTTACTTTTTTTCCCTGGATAGAATGCGTGCTATCTGCCATGCTTTGCTGTTTTTCTTTGTTTTTGGCTTTGGCTGTCTGTCTGCAGCTTTGTTTCTGTCGGCTTCATCATCAGACAGGCTTGGCTGGTAGTGGGGAAGGCATAAGCTTTAAGATAATGTTAAATTGAGTACGTCCAAATCCATGAGAGTAAATAGTTTGCCATGTTGATATGGTCAAGGACTTCACCTACTTCATAAATCTTTGGTTTAGCTTCGCAAAATGATTCCGCGAAGATTCCAAGCATAAACAGATTTAGGATAATCTTCCCCGTCACTTTAAACAACAATAAATTTAAACAGAGCCGAGAATCGATGACACAATTGAAAGTGACTTGAAAAGAAAAGAACAGGCAAAACAATAATGTTGACAATAAGATGCTCAACCAGACAAGTTTTCATCCAAAACGGAAAACTACAAAAAAAAAAAAAAAAAAAAAAAAAAAGGGAAAAAAACCATGCATCAAACACTTCTATGCGATCTCTCCTCTCACCAACGGTTTTTGGTGTTCTTCTCTTCGAAAAGAAATATAAAATAAAATAAATATACAAGGTTATGGAGTGTTACTTCATAGTTTGACTGTTATAATACTTAAATCGAGAAAATGAGATAAATACTTTTTTAAAGTGCATGAATTTAAATTTTTATCATAGAGCCACCTCTTCTCCTGCCTTAACCATTCCTTGTTTCTGTATATTGAAACCACAGAAAGTATATCATAAATAATAGCAGCGACCAAAGATAAAGAGACCTAGACATTTTTATAGAGTAATTTACTAGATGACCTTCTGGTCAACTTGAGATATTTCTGTTGATACCAAAGACAGACAACATAAATCTTCCTTCAAGTTCTTACCTGCAGTAAATCCAACGCGTTTCCAAAGGTCTCTTCAGCATCATCCGAGAATTCCATGTATATCGGACATACACCCTGATATAAAGCCAGTCTCTGTTGTATTCTCTTCCTGCATGGCCATCAAAACTATGTGGTTAGTCAACCTGTTAAATTCAGACAAAACAAAAAAAAAGTTGATTGATGCTCGTATTTTAAAGGGACAGGGCCGCATAAGAAGCATTAGAACTCACTCATTTGTAAAGGCATAAATGGTGCCAGAGGGTCGATAGTGGCTCAGCAGAATAGCCATGAAACCGGTTCTTGTGAAGACAACAATTGAGGTGCCGAGAGTGTTGGACATCATAGTTGCGTGGTAAGCAAACATCTCGCTCATATGGTTCTACACAAGCAAAGCAACTCTGCGTCAGTACTTGATGTAACAATCAGATGAAATTGGAAAAAAAAAAAGAATTTTTAAGCTGGGAGGGCCTTAACGGGGAAGCATGAAAGATTAATGCACCACCTAATATGATTGCTACCGAATCATAAACTTGTCAACTAACCTTGAAGGCTTGACCGAGATTAGCTGGCATTGTACCACCAGTTATAGTTGCTTCTGTCCGCAGTGCAACTGTGTGCATAACTTTTGCAGCTTTCAAAGGGAACCTACAAGGAAGCAAAATTACTATGTTTAAGGTATATGTACTTACACCTAAAGAATCTGCACAACTGCAATGACGTGCATCTGTGCAAGTATTGCACACCAACAAAGTTAGAGAGTCAAACAATCCTAGAAACAGGCAAAAGATGTGAAAAAGAAAAAAGAAAAACTAGGAACATACTTTCCATGAGCAGTTTCACCAGAAAGCATGACCGCATCAGCACCCTCACGAACAGCAATTGCAATGTCTGACACCTCTGCTCTGGTTGGGGTAGGGTGAACAATCATGCTTTCCAGCATATTTGTAGCCACAATGACAGCCTTCCCCATGCTACGACAGATCCTGATTATCTCTTCCTAATACAAGAAGAGGAATCTCAGAAGGATATAAAAGCAACTCAAATTGATGCCCATTGCATTGCCATTTGCCACTGGAAAATAGCAGTAGATAAGCAAAGTTATCTTTGGCTTTTCACTTCTATCAAAACAATGAAAGCTACCTGCAAAAGGGGGACCTCCTCAATAGGAAGCTCCGCACCCAGATCTCCTCTTGCAACCATTGCCTAAAAAGAAAAACGCATGTGATCAAGTTTAATAGGCAGTAATACAAGTAAGCCAAGCATTAAGATTAAGATCAATATTCCAGATAGAATGATAACAATGCAGATAAGATCAAGTAATTCATCATAATTGACCAGCAAGTTCCAGTTCAATGATTGAGGAGATCACCCCATCAGATGCCGTGATAATGGAGTGCAAGTTTGGGATAGAGTCTGCACTTTCGATTTTCACAGTAACATGTATATCTGCATCGCAGCCTGTGACATTAAATAAAAAAAGGTTGAAACTTCAGGTCTGGTAGGAAAGCATTCTATATGGAATTTTCTAAGCACAATAAATACATGTCCAAAATACTTACTCTTCAGATAATTTTTCAATTCATGAACTACTTCAGCATCTTTAACAAAGGAAACAGCATAAAAGTCAACTTTGTTATCGACTCCAAATTTGATATCTTCCCAATCCTTCTCTGCAACAAAGCCAACATAGACAATTCATTTTCCAAACCTAAAAAGTATAGCTCTCCTTGCTTTTAAAATCATCGATAACAATGATTATTGGAAGGATATTAATAATACTGTATATTAAAAAAATAAGATACTTACAAAGGAAAAACACTGTTGATAACTCAAAATCGAACCTGTAATGGAAGGCAAAGTTGCACTTTTCCCTCTAACATTCAAATGTCGCCTAGACTTGAGTTCTCCTCCATCAACGACCTCACATTTGACTGAATCTTTTGTTTTGGACTTCACCGTCAATGACATCATCCCACCTACAACACGTATCAAGAGTTAATGATGGAACTTGATGTGATCATACCACCTATACATATGATCATAGGTCTCGAGAGTGCAGCACCAATAGAGAAACTGGATGCTGAAGACTATCAAGATTTCATAACATAAAACATTTCTAGTATAATCCTGATATTTTGCGACAATATGATTTCATGGAGCATGTTCAACAATGATATGAGTCAAGACTTCTAGAATAGGAATTTTCCCGTGACAATATGACTCTTGAACTATAAACTAGAAATGTTCTTCTACCAGATTTTATTGGAACGGTAGCACATAAAACAAAAACTTAGCATATCAAAGGAAAATCCAGAGCATACCATCAACAAGAAGCATGTCACCCACTTCTACATCGTTAACAAAATCATCGTAGTTCACACTCACACAATCAGCTGTGCCAACTCCTCTCTGAATTGTAAAAGTAAATTCTTGTCCACTTGTTAATGTGATTGGCTGTGGTAGGTCTCCACTCCTAACCTCTGGGCCCTGGCGGTAACCAATGAAAAGAAACATCAATACAAGTAGCAAATTATAGAAGAAGCTCAATCAACATGTACTTGAAGGAAACACATATTTTGTCTCTAGAGAATCATGAGAACAAAAATAGTATGATTCGCATTTCTAATGCACGATTTTACCTTTGTTATTTCCACAAAAAGGTATATAACCCATTAATCAATTGTCACTTCGTCTCTATAACTCCCACTTGTAGTTTGACAACTTTTTAGCTGCTGGGTCCCGAACCCAGCCAAGTTTCAGGATAAAGTAAAACGAGAAATGGGAACTTGGCAATGAGAGTAATTCTTTTCATAAATGTTCCAATCACTTCCAAGGGATATTTTTCAGTTAAGTACATATAATCTGGCAGTTAAAGCAATGATTTTGATTTTTTTTTTGTCCTTTTTAATACAAAAAAAAAAGATGGGAACTTGGTGGAAGAGATATGTATTATATTTCCATAAATGTCACGATCACTCACATTTGACATTTCTAAGCTAAGCATACACAAATTCACTAAGCTAGGCAATTTGGTCGGCGAATTAACGTAAATAATGCGGACAAAAGAAAGAGATTGTGAAAATCTTGCCTTTGTATCGAGCATGATAGCGATGACATTGTCTTTGTTTGCCGCATTGTACTCCTTAACCAAATCGATAACTTTCTTATGAGAGGCGTGGTCTCCATGGGACATGTTCAGCCGAGCAACGTTCATCCCAGCCTCAGCCAGCTTCCAAATCATCTCTCGCGTGTTCGTTGAAGGACCAATCGTACAAACAATCTTCGTCTTCCTCCTAACCGTCGGCTTCGACCACATTCCCACTGACGTGTCGCCAAATTGCTGCAATCCACGCAGCTGCTGAAATTCCTCCTCCACCTGAATCAACACCACCAAAAATCAAAATTTCCCCAAAATTTTCCCGACAACCAAACAGAAAAATAAAAGCACGAACCTTGGGCGTATCCTCGGGGGAAACGGGGACGACCTCGGCTTGTACGGATCTCTTCGCGGTGATCTGAGACTTCCGAGCGGAAACAGCACTGATGGAGCTCTTCTTGCGGTCGTTGAAGAGAAGCTTGGCGGCGAAGCTCGCAGGCTTGAGCTTCTCGACCCGGTCGGGTACGGATCCGGAGGAAGGGGAGGGGAAGGAGGTCTGAATCGACCGTGTGGCCACCACCTGAGACATTGTTGTGGAGGAGGAGAGAGAAAGTTGGAAGCTTTGGAGAGAGAGAGAGAAGAGAGAATGGAGTTTTCGAGAGAGAGAGCTGCGTCTGTGTAGTACAGTAGTAGCAGTTAAAGTATAAAATGAATGTTTTGTCAAGTTGGGATGTTGAAGAAATCGCCGCTATAATTTTGGGCGGAGGTTTTGAGGAGGCTTTGGTTATATCGAACCATTACCAACGGACGTGGCGCTAAGGCTTCTCTCTCTCTTCTTTCTTTTCTGTCTCTTTTTTTTTTTTTAACTTAATTGTATTTAGTAGGAGAGTTTAAATCATGGTAATTTTAGTTTTAGAATTAAAATCATAATTTATGTTTGAATTTAGGGTTCAAATCATACTTTTAAAATCAGAATAAAAATTAGTGGTTAACTTAATTGTATTTAGTAGGAGAGTTTAAATCATGGTAATTTTAGTTTTAGAATTAAAATCATAATTTATGTTTAAATTTAGGGTTCAAATCATACTTTTAAAATCAGAATAAAAATTAGTGGTTTGAACCAATCAAAATTAAAAAAAGAGGTGGTTTTCTTTTTTTGGATAATTATGGTTTAAAACATTACATTTAAATTCAAACTTTAAATCAGAATCATTTAAATCAAATATTAATTTTAAAAATTATTTTTTACTTTTTGTAAATAAATAAAGATTTAAACTAGAATTATAATTCTGATTTTAAAACCCTCGTATCAAACACAATCTTAATTGTTTTATTTATTTTAAATCACTTTGTTCGGATCAGAGTGGTTAGGAATTTTGGGTCTCTGCGAAGTATGCAAGAAATCGTGCAATTTGTCACTTGTTGCGTGTGTGTGTTTTTTCTAGGAAAAATTAGTGTATTATTATTGTCCGAGTCAATAATACAACCAAAAATGTAAAACAAGTTAATAATACTATTCTTTTTCTAACAAAAATACAAAATATATATTTTTTATTTTTTATCGAGTAAGACAACAAACAAAATGTGTTAAATAATTAAGATTTTGAAAAATAGAATAGGGTTATAAAAAACGTACAAGTAAAGAATTTATTAAAGTGAGATTTACTTTTTTCAAAAGAAAAAAAGAAAAAAGAAAATGGCGGGGCCTCGGCCCTCGGCTGCTTATCCATGGACACTGGACGTTGTTGGGCCGACAAAATCCAAATTGGGCTGAGCTAAGCCCTCAGGCCTCAAAGTCTAGTTTCCGAAGTTGGAAAACTCCAAACTAATTGCATTTTGCCACGTATTGGTTACCTGGAGCTTACCGTACACCGAGTTGTATGGGATCGTCATCAACTCTGCCTCTAAATGCGCGGGAAAATCTATTTCTAATTCGCGCCACAAAGCCCTAGTAGCCACCACACCACGCTCTTCTTCTTTCTCAATCTCATACACAGAGAGATTAGATCTGTATCGCTTTTGGGATTTCTCAGGTTTTGCAAAATCCCCAATTTCTTAAACCCTACCACCACCGTAAGATGGACATGGAGGGCTTATCGGCGATCTGCGCCGGCCTCGGAGTGGTCGAAGAGGACCGAGACGGCAATCGGATCGGGTACTCAAAGGGAGAGTATTGCTTAGGTACATTTTTCACCTCTGTTAATGATTTCCTTCCGGTTTTGCGATGACATTGTTGGAACAAGAAAAATTAAGCTACTAATTTTACTTCATTTCCATTTTTTTTGCCGTTTCAATAATATTAGGATTCCGTTTGGTCGCTGAGAAAAAAGTGGTTTCGTCGTTGATTTTGCTTAATTGTCCTTGCTTAATTTTTTCTGATTGCAAATTCAACTCTGGCGTTTGAGATTGTTTAGTGTTATTATGTCTTCTGAAGTTATATTCTATATTATACCTGGTTTATCATTTCATCGTGGAATCTGTTTATAAGGATTACTGTTCTATTTCACCTACTTTTTTATGTAGAAATGGTTTGATTTGGTATGGTCAACATTTTTAATTTTTCCGAGCAGATAATTTGAAAGATTTGCTGAGGTTTTTGAGGCGCGATGATCCGCAGAATCGAGACGTGTTTAAGCAAGTCTGCAAATGGAATACTGTTTCTAAAGATTTGATTCCCATTATTGAACATTGCCAAGAAGATCGTAACTTAGTTCTAAATGCAGGTATTAGTTAAAAAGAAAAGAAATTTGGTGGACATAACACCAAGCATTGATACTAAAGCCATTTTATTTTTAATGTTTCAGTTAAAGTTTTGGTGTTCCTAACTATGCCAATTGAGCCATCATCAAATGACATATCAGATCAGATCGAGTATTTATGGCGTTTCAAGTCTTCAATTACGTGCAGTGACATTGTAGCAGTTATAGTATCACTTCTGGAAAGCCCACTGGAAAATCTGGAACGGTGAGTGAAAATTTTGTTTACTTGTATAGTTAGCTTTGGTTGCTTAGCAATCCAGGAAAACTTGTGATATTTGCGTGATAAGGACATTTAGGGTTCAATGTTGCTCTGTCATATTATGTTGTTCTGAAATCTTCAGAGGTTTATTTTTCAAATGCATTGGCTAGTGATGTTTTACAACATGAAATATTTTTCCCATTCTCTGAAAATTTTGATTGGCTTTATGAATAACCCATTATTTGATTTCATGATTAATTCTGTCACACAGTGATGCATTAACAGAGGATGACTGGAAATTGGTGCAGCTGATACTTACTTTATTCAGAAATATTTTGGCCATTCAAGAAATCTCACTGCAGCAGAAGGCTGGGGGAACTGCCAGTCACTTTATATCACTAAGAGATAAATTTTTGGAGCTTTTATTCCGTGAGAATGTTATGGACTTGATTATAGTTATAACCCAGCATTTTGGTGGCTATCTTCGTAATGATAACTTGCTTTTGTTGGATATTTTTCATTACGCTTTTATGGGTCAAGAGCCAGAGTTGGTTGCTAAAGCACATCTAAAAGGTCCTAAGGTTGGTTACCTTAATTTCCGCCTCTATATTTTATTGTTGCAATAATAATGCTGTGCCAAGCTTGCTGCATTAACGTAAATAATTAACAAATTTTATTGAAATAGGCTGATGAAAACTCCAAAGCTTCTCTTAACAGTCTCAAGTCTATTATGGAAGAGGAAGAGGAGAAGAGAAAACTTTCCAGAGTCCGCAACTTGGTCCGTCATTCGCATTTTATTGGAACATTTTCTCGGCTTACCATGGTATGAATTTTGATTTTCCTTCAGGCTGATGCTAGTAGGGGTGTTTGAATTTTGAGTTTTAGTAGCACTAGTTGTTTTTGCTTGGCAGGATGGTTCAAAGGCAGTTTTCAATGCAAAGCCTACTTCTGTTTCCCGTGATACCCTTATTAAACCACATAAAGTTCATCGTGGTCCCACTAAAAAAATTGCATGGGATCATGGGATATTGCCTTCATCAAAGGATGAAATTCTGAAACTACTTCATGATTTTGTGAACCACTTTTTATCAGGGGGAGGATACAATGGTATGCTTCGTTTATAATGGAAAATGATTTCTTTGTATTGATTTAGTTTCTATTTTGTTTTCTGCTCTATTTCATGTTGTTTCTATTATATCAATGTCATCCACACATGCATCAGTTTTAATGCAGTTGCTCCGCGAGGATATTGAAAAGGAGCACCACTCGGTACAACAGAGTGATGTCATTGTCTTCTTTCAGGTTGCTCAGTTTGTCACTTCTTTTCAGTATTACAAGTTTTTTACCTTTAAGGTAAGACATCGAAGTTAATATCTTTCCTTTATACTTTCTTCAGTTTTAAGGCTATAAATGTTTTCTTTTGGAATTCTTTTACCTCAATTTTTTTTTCTTGGATATAAACCCAAAGTATGGGGATTTCCCATTTCTGAGGAAACAAGAACATATATCATTAGTGGTATGCTTCATTTAGAATGAAAAATATTTACCTCGATCTTTTGTGCTTCAACAGCCAAACATCGGAGCAGATACATCTGAAGTTCTTGATGATGCGCATGCTGATAAGACACATTTTGGAGGGGATATGTGTGGACCTATTGCAGCATCAATGAATGAATCGATGTTTCAGTTAGTCTTTTCACATTGGCGTAATACATTTGAAGGCTTAAAGGAAACACATAACTTTAAGTTCCTGTCCGCAGCTGGTTCTCTTATGAAAAATATGGTAATTTAATTTATTCAGCTTGCTCAATGATCCTATCTTGTTTTCTGTATCCGTACATTGAATGTCTGTCTATCTTGGTAATTGGATATTGATATTCACATGATTCATACTACAGAAATGTTTGCTGGTTGCTTACACATGCATATAGAACTTGACCATCCACGTCTTGGAAGTACTCTTGAATTTTCTAAAATTATCATGATCAAGACATGAGTTTTTGGAAGTTCCATAATTTTGTATCTTCGTATTATGTTTGAGTTTATAATTGGCGCCTTATTTTACATATAGCAGAAAGTAAAACGAACCTTAGAGAGTAAGTTGTACTTTAGATTGATCTGAACGAAATAATTAAAGTTGCATGCTAGATGTGGTTAACGAACCTCCCTCTGATTGCTTCTTACATCGTCATAATCAAAGCTTCCTGCTTGCAGATTTGCATGCTAGATTTGGTGCTTACGGTACTACCAGAGGACTCTAAAGAGTCACAAACAGCTCGCATCCTTCTTTACAAGTTATTTTATGATCAAACTGATCAAGGGTTGACTCAGTTCCTCCTAAATTTGCTCAAATCATTTGACACTCATAAGCAGGCCAAAAGGTTTTCTCCACATCCTTTTATGATCTGTCCTATTCCTATCTTTATTGTACTTTTTTACACTAGTTCTGTAGCTTCAAATCTAGTGTCAAAGAGTTTTAGGTTTCAATTCTCAATCGACAATGAAGATTCTCATCAAAATTTAAGGAACTTTTTTCAGCATCTTATGTTTCTAATAACCTTTAAAAGTTTTCACATATGATTTAAGCTACAAGGTGCAGATTCTTCTTCTGATGTCACTCCAATTTATTAGACTTTAGAATCGGCAATCTGATTTGTCAGCTAGCTTCTGTTTCCAGCAATATAAAATTCTTAATTATATGTATAATGATGCATGTAAAAATGTTTTACATATTTTAATCTCCGATCTTCAACAAACCATTTGATTAGTTAACGAAAGAAATAGTTAAGATTAAACAAAATCCACCCACCAATAAATTACATTGGGTAGATTTCTTGTGCTCTAGATCTTAACAGAAAAGCAATATCACATAAGGCGCATTTTCAGCCTCATGTTTATTATTATTCAAAACCAAAATATCTTTCTACTGCTTTATTTTTTATGCTGTTAATAGTAGGTTCATCATTTTCTTCCCCATGATTAAGATGGCAAACTGGGTAATTGGGGCTATAATATTAGAGGCGAGAAATGACTAATATTTGTTTTTGAATAAGCTATATTATGACTTGATCAAAAGGATTATTGCTAGTTTTCGCAATTTGAATACCATGATTTGCCGTTTCTCTGTTCTCTCTTTCATATTTATGCAAGTATTTTCATGCGTTTTAGATGTGTATGCATTATAGTCTCCAATGGACCTTATCCGCATTCCTTTATGAATCTCTGCTCTCTTTCCTCTTCTTAGCTATAAGGTCCTCTTATATGTCCCCATATGTTTCTACTATTTAATGTGTATTATACTAATCAAACATAGAACCTCAGAATTTTTGGTTTGAAGTGTTGGTGTGGGGCCTTATTTATGAATTATTTAATGTGTATTATACTAATCAAACATAGAACCTCAGAATTTTTGGTTTGAAGTGTTGGTGTGGGACCTTATTTATGAATTTTTTATTTCAGTGATCTCGAAAATTTGACGGAGATGATATGTAAAGTTCTTCAGCTCATGGAGAATCTCCAAGCGCGTGGAACACTAAGGGTATATCTTTTTTGACTTTCTGTTGCCGCCGAAAGCATTATACTACTGGCTACTCATTTATAAGTATTTTGTCTGACTTAATATATATGCTATGTGTGCTGGTGTTGGTATTAGGATTCTTTGAAATTTAATCGTGCACATGAATACCTCTGTTTATAAGTACCAGATAGCATTTTGTCCTAATGATCGACACTAAGATTTACCTTTTTCAATGGCGAAGGTTTCTAAAAAATCCAGGAAAGGGAGAAAGAAGAAAGCGTTGAAAGATAAGGAAACCAAAACTGTACTCACAGGAGAACCTTCCTCCATTCAGAGTGAGAATGGGGTTTCTAATGGTGAGCAGCCAGCAGAAATGGGTGATACGCACAAGGATATCCAAAATACGAGTTCTGACGGTAACCAAGAGACCATTAACCCTGCTCATATTGATAAATGTCAAGGGTCAGTGCTGGAGACAGATGTCATTGGAAACCAAGAGACCATTAACCCTGCTCATATTGATAAATGTCAAGGGTCAGTGCTGGAGACAGATGTCATTGGAAACCAAGAGACCATTAACCCTGCTCATATTGATAAATGTCAAGGGTCAGTGCTGGAGACAGATGTCATTGGAAACCAAGAGACCATTAACCCTGCTCATATTGATAAATGTCAAGGGTCAGTGCTGGAGACAGATGTCATTGGAAACCAAGAGACCATTAACCCTGCTCATATTGATAAATGTCAAGGGTCAGTGCTGGAGACAGATGTCATTGGAAACCAAGAGACCATTAACCCTGCTCATATTGATAAATGTCAAGGGTCAGTGCTGGAGACAGATGTCATTGGAAACCAAGAGACCATTAACCCTGCTCATACTGATAAATGTGAAGGGTCAGTGCTGGAGACAGATGTCATTGGTGGTAGCCTGCTAGAAACGGAGGTCAAGAATTCTGGCCATGCAAACGATGATCTCTATGACACCGGTGATTCTTCTGGTGATGAGCAGGAGGCCGTGACTGATGAAGTTGATTTCAATGCATCAACTTTTGTTTCTTCTTTTGCCAGCAACAATATCATTCAGAAACTGTGTTGGTTGCTTAAGTTTTATAAGAGTAATTCCACAAGTACAAATGATTACATAATAAGAATGCTGCGAAGGATCAGTGATGACCTGGAGCTCTCCCCAATGCTGTATCAGGTCAAACTTTTAAATCCAAAGCACTTTTAAATGCTAAGCGATCACCTGCGAGATGCATAACTCACCCATCTTTTTTCTGCTTGTTTAAACTAATAATGCAGCTATCACTCCTCACAACATTTTACGATATCCTGGCTGAGCAAAAATCATGCCCATCTAAAGAATATGCAAATATTGTTAATTTTCTGACGAGTTTGGTAAGAAAAATGCTTAAGAAAATGAAAAATCAGCCCCTTCTTTTCGTGGAAGCTCTCTTCTGGAAGACTCGGAGAGAATGCCATTACATTAATGCTGAATATTTACTGCATGAGCTTGGCCACTACAAGAGAGAAAGTAAGAACTGGCAAAAAAATTTCGGGAATGTAGGTATTGGCTCATCACAGGACAAGGAATGGACTCACAGAAGCATAGCAGATGCACTTGGTGATGATGAAGCTGATGTTGTGATCACACACGACCTGGGCAATAAGTAAGATATGTTTTGAAACTTCCAAGATCCACAACTTGCCTTCATCACATTTTTTTTTCTTTTTTTACCTGAAGTAAATCATTATAAAATCTTAGACCATCTAAAAAATGACTTTGATTAACCAGTATAATGCGGATAGAATTATGAATATGTCTCCTTTCTTTGTGCAGTAGTGAGGAAGAGATTGGCGAATTAAAGGGAAACACTTCATCTACTTTAGATGGTGGGTTTGATGGACAAGAAAGTAATAACAAGTACGCCCTCTGGAAAGACAACTCTTTCATTGTATTGCAATTAAAATTTTGCTTTTGTGTAGTCTCAAGATTTTTCTCTTGCAGTGCGAAGAAGGCCGTGGAACATGCATCTGAAAGAGTTGCTAAGATAAAGAAAAGAATTGTTCTTGGCAGTGAGCTGGATGAGAAAATCAGGAATCTCTATGAGAAGTATGTGTGTTCTAACCTATTGATGTCCACCAGAGTTTCTTTTACGTATTTTAACTTTTCATATGTATGTCTTATGCAAGACATGTTGAATCCATTGTCCAGTTATTTGGGATATCCCATTCCCTATCCTAAGAAGGTTATTCTTATAGTGCAACGTAACATGATCTGCTCACTTTATTTTCCATTTAGCGGTTGCCAAAATTTTTGGATCTAATATTTTTTTGACAAATGCCGTGTATCCAGATTCAAGGATAGCCAGGATTGTAGTCAACTTATAGCAGAAGATCTAGATTCCGATGGTAGAGTTTCATCGCTTCAAGTTTCTAAGAAGCTTAAACAACTTGGACTTAAACGTGCATCAAGAAAAAGGTTACGCCGTGCTGATGTACCTAGTTCTTTTGACCCTGATAAACTTGACGGAGAAAAAAATGGGGTGGAGACAGTTGGTACTCTTGGTGACTCAAACGATTTGGAGAAAACTTTATTGAGCCAGCCTGCGTAAGTTTTCCTTTTTATTTAAGTCAAGTTGTTAACTTCTATTCTTTTGTTATTGCTGTTCATGTTGTTTCTGTTACTACTGTTAATCCATTAGCATCATTTTTCTTATTATAGTTGCTTATTTTTATAGGCATGCAAGAAAAAGAGTTCGTGCCTTTAGTGAAGATCAGGAAGCAACCATTAGAACTTTGTATGAGCAGTAAGGGTCTACTTAACTCGATCCAACGATAAAGCTGATTTCTTTGCACTTGACAATTGCTGAAGGAACTAAAAGTACATGCTAGCTTGGTTGTTAATATTTGTAAAAGAGTAACTTCTTGGGCTTTCTTTGGTACACCCAGATATAAAGATCACAAGAGGTGCAGCTACATGATTGCAAATGCACTGGATGCGGATAATAAATTCACAGCTTCTCAAGTTTCTCGTAAACTTAAGCAGCTTGGCTTATGTATTCCTCGTCAGAAGAGATCTCAAACCAACATACGTTTGAGGGATGATGATCTTAATGACATTTCTGCGGACAAAGTGAATGACTCTGATGATGAGACATTACTATCATTGATGAACGGGTAATGTCATCCATGTTCTTACTTCAAAATAGTTTCACGCTTTCTTCTGCGTTAGGTTTTCCCTTGCTCAGCTCAGCTTTCATCCACTAATTGTCAACTAGCTTTAAACATTTGAAGATAGTATCTAATGCGGTAATTTTTTAAACTTTCAGGAGAAAAAAGAGGGAGAATGGCAGACTATATAGTGAGGACGTGGGGGGACATAGTGTGGGTGGAAAGTTATCCGAAGATGATTCACATAATGAAATGCTAGCGTCTATTATAAAGTAAAAACGTTTCTATTTGCATTATTTCTGTACATTTAAATTTAGTTTTTTAGAAATTTTCCCTTTATATATATAAAAAAAAAAAAAACAAAAATATTGTTCATTTGAATCATCTCCTCTCTGCTTTTGGGATTCATTTGTATGACGTCCCCGAAAATTTTATCATGTCATTAACTTTGCTTGCATTAAGGAAAACACGAATCTGTCATTAACTTTGCTTGCATTGAATCTGTCTTACCAAATTTATTTTGCTTTCTGGATGTAGGAAAAAACGGTTACCCCTCACTAAGTCAAAGGTTGTGAAGCGGGCTGACATATCGATTGAGGGGGCAGCAAGTGAGGATGGTTTGGGAAATGGAGCTGAGGAAGGAGTTGAAGAACGGTATGCTTGTTTTCCATTATAATTTCCTCTATCTGGTATTCTATCTTGGTCCCGCATTCGCAGTTTCTCGAGAATGGAATGTGATCCTGATAGCACTGCTCTCTCATAGTAATTTCCTTATACATTTGCTCACTGTCAGGTCCTCCAGCCAACAATCTGGCATGTCGGAGCCTGGAGAACCGAATAAGGGTGTTGCTAGCAACACTGTAAGTCTGGATGACAACAGAGAAACTGAAGAGAACATCAC